TTGCCTCCAAGGACAAAGTTCTTTGTCTCCACAGACTCCTAAGTGCACCACTCACTCTTTTTTCCCTCATCAATTCTATGATTCACCTCATCTTTCATAGACCCATCCGCTGACACGTCCACTCCCAAATATCTGAATACGTTCACCTCCTCCATACTCTCTCCCTCCAATCTGATATTCAATCTTTCATCACCTAATCTTTTGTTAAATCTTTCCTCATAACCTTACTCTTTCCTGTATTCACCTTTAATTTTCTTCTTTTGCACACCCTACCAAATTCATCCACCAATCTCTGCAACTTCTCTTCAGAATCTCCCAAGAGCACAGTGTCATCAGCAAAGAGCAGCTGTGACAACTCCCACTTTGTGTGTGATTCTTTATCTTTTAACTCCACGCCTCTTGCCAAGACCCTCGCATTTACTTCTCTTACAACCCCATCTATAAATATATTAAACAACCACGGTGACATCACACATCCTTGTCTAAGGCCTACTTTTACTGGGAAAAATTTCCCTCTTTCCTACATACTCTAACTTGAGCCCACTATCCTCGTAAAAACTCTTCACTGCTTTCAGTAACCTACCTCCTACACCATACACTTGCAACATCTGCCACATTGCCCCCCTATCCACCCTGTCATACGCCTTTTCCAAATCCATAAATGCCACAAAGACCTTTTTAAAGCCTTATCTAAATACTGTTCACTTATATGTTTCACTGTAAACACCTGGTCCACACACCCCCTACCTTTCCTAAAGCCTCCTTGTTCATCTGCTATCCTATTCTCCGTCTTACTCTTAATTCTTTCAATTATAACTCTACCATACACTTTACCAGGTACACTCAACAGACTTATCCCCCTATAATTTTTGCACTCTCTTTTATCCCCTTTGCCTTTATACAAAGGAACTATGCATGCTCTCTGCCAATCCCTAGGTACCTTACCCTCTTCCATACATTTATTAAACAATTGCACCAACCACTCCAAAACTATATCCCCACCTGCTTTTAACATTTCTATCTTTATCCCATCAATCCCGGCTGCCTTACCCCCTTTCATTTTACCTACTGCCTCACGAACTTCCCCCACACTCACAACTGGCTCTTCCTCACTCCTACAAGATGTTATTCCTCCTTGCCCTATACACGAAATCACAGCTTCCCTATCTTCATCAACATTTAACAATTCCTCAAAATATTCCTTCCATCTTCCCAATACCTCTAACTCTCCATTTAATAACTCTCCTCTCATATTTTTAACTGACAAATCCATTTGTTCTTTTAGGCTTTCTTAACTTGTTAATCTCACTCCAAAACTTTTTCTTATTTTCAACAAAATTTGTTGATAACATCTCACCCACTCTCTCATTTGCTCTCTTTTTACATTGCTTCACCACTCTCTTAACCTCTCTCTTTTCTCCATATACTCTTCCCTCCTTGCATCACTTCTACTTTGTAAAAACTTCTCATATGCTAACTTTTTCTCCCTTACTACTCTCTTTACATCATCATTCCACCAATCGCTCCTCTTCCCTCCTGCACCCACTTTCCTGTAACCACAAACTTCTGCTGAACACTCTAACACTACATTTTTAAACCTACCCCATACCTCTTCGACCCCATTGCCTATGCTCTCATTAGCCCATCTATCCTCCAATAGCTGTTTATATCTTACCCTAACTGCCTCCTCTTTTAGTTTATAAACCTTCACCTCTCTCTTCCCTGATGCTTCTATTCTCCTTGTATCCCATCTACCTTTTACTCTCAGTGTAGCTACAACTAGAAAGTGATCTGATATATCGTGCCCCTCTATAAACATGTACATCCTGAAGTCTACTCAACAGTCTTTTATCTACCATACATAATCCAACAAACTACTGTCATTTCGCCCTACATCAAAATCGTGTATACTTATTTATCCTCTTTTTCTTAAAATATGTATTACCTATAACTAAACCCCTTTCTATACAAAGTTCAATCAATGGGCTCCCATTATCATTTACACCTGCACCCCAAACTTACCTACCACACCCTCTCTAAAAGTTTCTCCTACTTTAGCATTCAAGTCCCCTACCACAATTACTCTCTCACTTGGTTCAAAGGCTCCTATACATTCACTTAACATCTCCCAAAATCTCTCTCTCTCCTCTGCATTCCTCTCTTCTCCAGGTGCATACACGCTTATTATGACCCACTTCTCGCATCCAACCTTTACTTTAATCCACATAATTCTTGAATTTACACATTCATATTCTCTTTTCTCCTTCCATAACTGATCATTTAACATTACTGCTACCCCTTCCTTTGCTCTAACTCTCTCAGATACTCCAGATTTAATCCCATTTATTTCCCCCCACTGAAACTCTCCTACCCCCTTCAGCTTTGTTTCGCTTAGGCCAGGACATCCAACTTCTTTTCATTCATAACATCACAATCATCTGTTTCTTGTCATCCGCACTACATCCACGCACATTTAAGCAACCCAGTTTTATAAAGTTTTTCTTCTTCTCTTTTTTAGTAATTGTATACAGAGAAGGGTTACTAGCCATTGCTCCCGGCATTTTAGTCGCCTCATACGACACGCATGGCTTACGGAGGAAAGATTCTTTTCCACTTCCCCATGGACAATAGAAGAAATAAAAAAGAACAAGAGCTATTTAGAAAAAGGAGAAAAACCTAGATGTATGTATATATATATATGCATGTGCGTGTCTGTGAAGTGTGACCAAAGTGTTAGTAGGAGTAGCAAGATATCCCTGTTATCTTAGCGTGTTTATGAGACAGAAAAAGAAACCAGCAATCCTGAATTTACACATTCATATTCTCTTTTCTCCTTCCATAACTGATCATTTAACATTACTGCTACCCCTTCCTTTGCTCTAACTCTCTCAGATACTCCAGATTTAATCCCATTTATTTCCCCCCACTGAAATTCTCCTACCCCCTTCAGCTTTGTTTCGCTTAGAGCCAGGACATCCAACTTCTTTTCATTCATAACATCAGCAATCATCTGTTTCTTGTCATCCGCACTACATCCACGCACATTTAAGCATCCCAATTTTATAAAGTTTTTCTTCTTCTCTTCGAATTTAGGCCTTTTCAAATTTAGGCTGACCTTCTGGAATGGATTACGGCCGATATTTGGGGTTCCACTGTACATATTCTTTTATAATTGATCTCTCCATAGTATGTTCTTCAGCCATAATTACTCTTTTCTTATGATGGTATTTGTTTTTTGTAGTTAATCCCTAATTAATAAATTGCTTGTGTGTAGTTAAACCATTCCTAATATCTTGCAAAAATCTTAAAAACACAATTGACACAAATAAGTGAACGAGTATGACTCGCACCCCATGGCAAACTAATACTAAAACTAGCAGGTTAGTATTCTGACTACCAGACCATACAAGCTTAAGATTTATCAAGTTAGGTACATTTCTATACACTAGAGAGGTTAGCATGGGACCTTTGTGACCACAAATGCAAGTTTTTATGGATGATTCTTTCATGGACATGGTAATGATGAGCTCTAGCTCAAGTATCACTGTGTGGCTGAGTGATCAGAGCACTGGCTTACTAATTTTTGGATTTGTTTTGCCGTGAATTTGAGTCCTTCCCGTTACATGAATATTTTTTAATGTCAAGTAGTATTTGCTAGCCATAGTTAATTGCTCCCTAGTACAGTACAGTATGTTCTTCATAGTTCGTCTCTTCTTAGCAATTTATTTGTATGTTCTTAAAGCCACTCTCTTAGTAAGTTCAGTTATTTTTTCATGTGACAATTGTTGAAAGTGCTGTTAGCTGTAAAGAACATGTAGCAAGGTATTAACCGATGTCAAAGCATAAAATGAGTAAATGTTACAGCAAAGGCATTGCACAGACATACACAATTGTCATTTTCAGTTCATGCAGTATATATCTATGATAGGCATTCATTAGAACCATATGTGAGCAAAAAATAAATGAGGAACTAGACATACATACAAAGCCTGGGTATAACTATTTGAAGACATTTTATTAACCAAGGCTCTATTAATTCAGTATAGAGATGATGTGCAAAGACAGTAGAAGATGAGGTAGTCAGTCCTCTCAGCCTTGTGGAACTATACACAGAAGATAGTGAAAGATGAGGCACTCAGTCCCTCAGCCTGGAAGCAAGTGTTTGGTACCTTAGTCTTGATGAATCTGAAGTAGGCAGGAGGATGGACTTGTATACTAGAGTCAGATGAATTGCAGCAGTTGAAGTCATGTCTCAGGTGGGTGGGTGGGACCCACTAGTGGATGACATTGACTTCAACTGCTGTATCTCATCTGACTTTAGTATGAGTCCATCTTCCTGCCTTTACTTTGGATTCATCAAGACTGAACAGAAGCTTCAAAGCTGAGGGACTGATAGCCTCATCCTTTCACTGTCTTCTGTGTATAGTTCTACAAGGCTACCTGAAGTCTAACTGGAGAGTAATCTTCAAATCTGCCCCCACAGCCCAGTTCAAGATCAGGCCTCCCAGTGGATGGCCTGATCATTGTGATTGTTAGTGCTAGCCACACAAAGTCCAATGTATGCACCACAGCCTGGCTGATCACAAACTGACTTGAGGAACTTGTCAGGGGTCTGTTGGTAATCCGTGTTTTACCTGATGGGAGGTTATTGCAAAGTCTTGATTTCTCTACACTTGTTTACTTTTCCCATAGCTTATTCAATGCACCTCTGCTTTTTATTAAAGGTATTTGGTACTGTCTGCAAAACCACTTCCTTTTATAGGCAATAATTTGTGTGTGCAGATTTGGGACCAATTCCTATAGAACTTTCCAGCTGAGGGACTAATTACCTCAGCTACTGTCTTCACACATCCCTATATTGATTTGGTAAGGCCATTGGTCAGCAAAATGTCTTGAGGTAAATATATCCAGGTGTTGCAGGTGTCTAATTTCCCATCTCTTTGGTATTGTATACTCTTATTACAATGAGCAAAGAAATATTTGTTTGTTTCCATGACCAGGGCCTGTGAGGAGGGTCAGCGTGAGATGGTGAGACTGCTACTGGATCATGGGGCAGACGGTAGGATTCACCCTGTCACGAAGTACTCGCCGCTCTATATTGCCTGCTACTATGGCCGCAGGGATATAGCTGAAATGCTGCTAAAGGTTAGAGGATGGAGAAGGAAATTTTTATAGCAAGTTATGTGCACAGTTTAAGCTAACTGTATGTACACCTACCATCCGACTTATGACCGAGTTCGGTTCCGAGAAACTGGTCATAAGTCGAAATGGTCGTAAGTCGAACTTTACTACTGAATATCAACAAAACATTTTTGTAATGACTTTATTTTATTGTTTTATTTTGGTATTTCATGTTTTACTTTACTTTTTATGTTGTTAGTACTGTATTTTATACTGTAAGGTTTAGGATAAACAATGTGTACAACACAAGGTCATAAGTCGGATGGTAGGTGTATTTAGAATTTTGAACTTAAAATTTTAATCTTTTTATATTTGATTTTAAGGCAGTTTTTCACTAACAGAAAGGTTAATTCTTAAAAAAAATCTTCATTGAAACTTTCTGCCACAGTTAAACAGAAAGTTTGACTTTCATCCTTTCTATAATATAGAAAAAATTACCCCAAGTGATGATAGTTGTACAGCAAAGATTACTGTTGGAAAGAGTTTACATTACAAATTTTGTTTAATGGACTATAACATTTTTGCTCTTCTGTTGAAATTTTAGAATTTGACTTTATCATGATTTTAATGATAAGCGAAAGTAAATGTTTTGTAACACTCAGTACTCTTTAGTGTACAAAGACTTATTAGCTTTCATAAGCATTTTTTAAAGTACAATACACAATAATAATATACAGTACAGTAATAAAAATTTTTATTAAAAAAAAAAAAAAAGGTACTCGGTACATTAGGTGTGAATATTGAGAAAAGAGGATACCTGTTGTGAATCCCTTAGCATGAATGGCATTCCTTAATGGAATGGTGAGTTTTTATTGATCAGCACATTATGAGAGAGAGAGAGAGAGAACAAACAAACAAACAAACACAGGATTGGGTTTTATTAGAAATAACATTTTGCAAAATATGGCTTGGGAGGAACCAACATGGAATAGACTAGATTATAAGAAAGATGTAAGACCATATAGTCATATTTCTGTCATCATTGCAGGATTCCAGAACACATGGCTGAAGCAGCATCATTTTTGAACTCTTAAGAGTAAAAAAAAAAAAAAAAAAAAAAAAAAAAACTCAGGAGTGTAAATATTTTGCCCTAAATCTCTCATAAGTATTTTCTTACCCACATAATTGACTCCTGCTGTAGTATGGATTATTATGATAGAGATGATGACTGTATAATGGATTTTTTCATCAGATATAGGCTTATTTTGTGTTTTAGATACCATATCTCTCTGAATGTTAATAAGAAAGAATATAAAAAGCAAAATGATTAGGGTGTAGGAAATCCAGCGAGCACATTTTAATATTTTTTTTTTTTATTCAGGAATTGTATGTTGAGTCTAAGAAAAATATCCTTCTTAAAAATAAAAATTGCAATGACTAATTTGCAACAGAAAGCTATGAGCTTATTACCTATATTTTTTGGAAAAATTCAGCTTCTTTTTAACTTTTCAATTTGTTTCAGAGGTCATCTCACTTTAAATACTGCTTGAGCCTTGTTAATAATGACATGAAAATGGAGAGAAATTTATGTGTGATAAATCTAGTGAACACATTTTTAACGAAATTCTCTGGTTGGTTTTCAAATTTGGGGTCATTCGTAAAGGCAGAGGAGCACCCTGCCTGGCCCAGGTTAGGTGGCTTATGTGAGTTTAACAACAGGCTACATTAATGAATTAATTTTAAGAATATTTCCTTGCCTCTCAAGTTCAGTGGGTTACTACGCAGTAAACAGAGTCAAATGCAGATTTTGCAAAGGCATTTGACAGATATAATCATGGGGTGATTGCACACAAAATGAGAGCAATACATATAACAGGGAAAGTAGACAAATGGATATAAACTTTCTGACAGATAGAACACAGAGTAGTAGTAGTAAATAAAGAAAAATCCAGCATTAGTGAGGTAAAAAGCTCAGTACCCAAAGATACAGTCCTGGTGCCTTTACTGTTTATCTTAATAACATAAATAATATCCTCTCCTCACTTAGCGACGTACTCATTTACTGACCACCCGGACTTACGACCAGCTCTCCAGCCAGTGTGCAAACCTAAGTAATGTACAATGGAACCCCAGTTTTTGTCTTTAATCCATTCCAGAAGGTCGGCCGAAAACCAATTTGTACGAAAACTGAAGTAATATTTCTGGTAAGAAATAATGTAAATCCAATTAATCCGTTCCAGACACCCAAAAATATTAACAAAAAACACATTTTATAGAGAATAACTATAGTTTTACATACAGAAAACAATGAGAAATAAATATAAATGACTAATGAAATGGATAAATGAACATATAACATCACTTTTACCTTTATTGAAGACTCTAGTTGGTGTATGGAAGACGGCAAGAAGAGAAGGAGGAGAGGTTATTGTTTGGAAGGGGAATCCCCCTCCATAAGGAATTCAGGTATCAAAGCCCTATCAGGGGTTACTTCCCTTCTGTGTCTTCTACTGGCACTAGGACCTGCTTGAGTCACTGGACCCCTGTCTCGCAAAAAATCTGTCCAGAGAGGCCTGTTTCTGGCATCTCTTCAAGATTTGCCTAAAATGGGGCACGGCATTGTCATTGAACATGTTGCTGACATGGCTTGCAACAGCTTTGTTAGGGTGATATTTCTCTACAAAACTTTGCACCTCACTCCACTTTGCACAAATGTCCTTAACCCTTTCAGGGTCCAGAGGCCAAATTTCAAAGTGTGCACCAGGGTCCAAGAATTTTCAAAAAATAATTGTTATTTTTTCGTATGAAATGGTAGAGAATCTTTTTCTGAAGGTAATAAAACAAAAAGTATGAAATTTGATGGAAAATTTACGAAATTATGCTTTCACGAATATTGATGTGTCAGCGGTATTTACGCATCGGCGATTTTGCCAACTTTCACTCCCATTTTAGGCCAATTACAGTATTCCAGTCAACCAAATTCTTAGCTATTTCACTAGTATTACTTCTATTCTATCGATTGAGCACAAGAAATCGCCAAGTCAACTGTTTCAACTACAAAATAAAGTGACCGGAAATTAGTAATTTGGCCAATTTAATGCAAAGTTCAAAATATTCCAATTTCAAAATAGGGTCCAGAATAAACAATGCAGGCATTCCTGGCACTAAACTAACATTTCCTCTGTTCATTAGTTATGTTTTCAGGCTTTACAAATGAATTCCATTTTTATTTTTTATTCACATAATGAATTTTTATTCAAACCAAAAAATAGAAGATTTACTGTTATGCATTACTGTAATAATTGTATAAATAATATAACCACATTTGTAAATGTATATTAGACCCACTGGCTGTCATGTATTAGACTTGTGAGGTCATTTGTTTACTCTTGAACATCGGCAAAAATTTAACATTTCTGCTACTTTGAGCTCAGTTTCAAGCCATTTCCAGTATAAAACCAATTAAAATCATCTCTATTTCTGTAGTATATCTTCCATTCTATCAAATGAGACCAAAAAATTGCAAATACACCTATAAAAAACATACGAAAAAATACTGCAAAGTCGCTAAATTAACCCTTTGACTGTCGCGGCCGTATATATACGTTTGCGAGGTACCGTGTTTGACGTATATATACTCATAAATTCTAGCGGCTTCAAATCAGGCAGGAGAAAGCTAGTAGGCCCACATGTGAGAGAATGGGTCTGTGTGGTCAGTGTGCACCACATAAAAAAAATCCTGGAGCATGCAGTGCATAATGAGAAAAAAAATACTCCGACCGTTTTTTTTAATTAAAATGCCGACTTTGTGGTCTATTTTCGTATAGTATTTGTGGTTGTATTCTCGTTTTCTTGGTCTCATTTGATAGAATGGAAACTATATTATAGAAATGGAGTGATTTTGATTAATTTTACTATAAAAAGAACCTGGAAATGGAGCACAAAGTACAGGAAATGTTTGATTTTTGCCGATGTTCAAAAGTGAACAAATGATGTCATTGTCCAATAAATGTCCAAATAGCCATTCTAATACGCAGTCATGAATGGGTTGATGTAATTTTTACAATTATTACAGTATTGCAGTAGTCTGCATAACAGTAAATCTTCTATTTTTTGTTTGAATAAAATTTCAAAATAAAAAGCAAGAGTAATATCACAGGGACCTGGAGACATGACTGATGAACAAAGAAAATGTTATTTTAGAGCCAGGAATGTCTGCATTGTTCATTCTGGACCTTATTTTGAAATTGTCATATTTTTTAATTTTCGTGAAATTGGCCAAATTGCAAATTTTTGACCATGTTATTGGGTAGTTGAAATCGGTAAATGGGCAGTTTCTTGTACTCAATCGATAGAAAAAATAGAGTTCTGAAGAAATAGTTATGAGTTTGGTTGACTGGAATAACGGAATTAGCCGAAAATAGGGCTCAAAGTGGGCGAAATTGCCGATTTTTAAATATCGCCAAAGTCGCTAACTTCGCGAGAGCGTAATTCCGTCAGTTTTCCATCAAATTTCGTTTTTTTGGTGTCATTACAATCGGGAAAAGATTCCCTATCATTTCATAAGAAAAAATAATTTTTTTTTTTTTTCGAATATTTTGCGACACCAGAAGCAACTTCAGGATTTGGCCCTTCGACAGTCAAAGGGTTAATCGAAAATTACGGTCTCGGTTTTTTTCTCTCATGCACTGTGTGCTGCAGGATTTGTTTTATGTGGTGCACACATACCACATAGATGTATTCTCTCGTATCTAGGCCCAAATTTACTGCTCACAGCTTATCAGAGTGAGCTGAGCTCATGGCGTAGATCTACGGTTTGGACCCTGAACGTAAAGCCGTAGATCTACGGCGCGGACCCTGAAAGGGTTAATTGCTGAGAAGGCTCATTCTCTCCTCTCTCTTCCTCCTCCTCTGAAGCAATCTCCTCAGCTAAGGTCTGTTGCTGTTCCAGATAAAGGTCTTGTTTCGGATGAATGCGCGGAGTAATGCTCACCGAACGAGTAACAAAGGCAGACTGAGTCACG